AATAGTTGGCAGCTTATCTCCAAAACTCCCATTGGGAGGAGAGTGACAAGGGCTATGAATTTAGAGAATATTCCCAGGTATCCCAGATCAGCCCCTGAAGGGCCTTGCCCTCCAAGTAGTTAGTCGGCCCCTCATTCCACCCTGTAGTATAAAGCACAGTATCCAGAGAGTGGCTCCTCTGGATTAACACTAACATGAACCCTGAAAGCTTGTCGATCCCAGAACACTGGGAGAACACTCTATATTAAACCCATCTTTCCCCCTTCCATGATTCTAGGGCATTTTGTGGCCTACTTTCCATTCCTCTTCTCTCCCCCTTTAGTGCATGCAATGGAGAAAATTTGGACCAAGTACTAGTAGAGAATAAAATAAAATAAAAAAACCCACTAAGGGTTGTATTCTGAATTCACTGACACTCCTGGAACTCAACCCTAACTCCACTCACTGTACTCAGTTTTTCCCCAACTACCAACAGAGTTTTGCTCAAAAGCAAGCCAAGCAGTGAAACCAGCCATGGACGTTCCCATACAGAGAAGCATTTAATCAGGTCAATTGTATTAGAGAAGTGCTCACAAGCATCACCATAGTTAAAATCTCTATGACACTTTCCCAGCTAAGACCAGGCCTGCTGATGGGTGGGGAGGTGGCAAAGAGGGCAATTTCACCGGGGCCCTGCATTAGCCGCAGTGGCAGCCACAAGCTCCAGGCCTCATTGAAACACTGCGGCAATGCCACCCTGAGTGGCGCTGAGGGATAAGGGGAGCACTGTGCTCTGGGCAGCGCCAAGGGCTGCCTGCTCTCGGCCCCACCCCTTTCAGGGGCGTGGAGCCATACCTTCCCACTCCTTGACCCTGGGCTTGCAGTGGCTGTCAGCCCTGCTGACTAAGACCGTAAGCACAGGCGTTTAAATATGCATAGAAACCAAACCAACCAACCAACCATCTGCGAATAGAAACTGCCAAATTTCAGCACTGGAAAAATTAAGAAAGGAAGGAAAAAATAAAGCCTCAAACAAAACAGTATGGCCAATTGATCTTGCATTTTAGGAGGGCAACTGTATTATTAAAACCGTAATCTGGATGAGTGCCAACAACTAACACGGCTACATCTCTATAACAATGGCTTTTGCAGTGACACATTCTTTCCACTTTGCCTACCTTAGAAAAGGTTTGTTGGGATAGCCATGCTATCCAACTGTCCCCATGCAAATGAGGCTTATACCAGAAAAAAATTGCTTCTGGAATTGCTAATACTGGTTCCTTGCACAAATTAATCTAAGCTGGTAATGTAGCCTCTACACTAGGGCTTCTGCCATTATAGAACCACAGTGAAAAGAAAATCACAACCCTAACCAAGATTGCTCTGCTAGAAAAAGAATAGTCTTGACTCTAATCATGCTGTCTGACATTCCCAGTGCAGCACTAGCTTTTGGCTATCTGGTCTCTGGAGGGGGTGAGGGTGGGGGTGAGTGAGAGAGAGAAAGAGACCATACGCAGGAATTTCTGTGTGCGCACGTGCACACGCTTTTTTTTTGGTAAATGTGGACCACAAGGGTGCGAGCACACCCTTCCCCCAAAGTCCTCCAAGTAAGCGTGATCCAGCCAGCTGGGGGAAGGCAGGAGTGGCACACTGTTCGAGCCCTCCTCTCTGTTTCAGCCAGCCCGGAGTTGATTTCCACCCCTCCTGGGCCAGCCGGAGCATAAGGGAGGGCGGCTCGGACAGTGCACCACTCCTGCCTTTCCCTGGAGCATGCTTACTTGGGGCACCGTACAGGGGTGCACTCACATCCTTTGCGCGCACACACCCCCATGTACGGGCCTGATTCGTCAGTTCAAATTGCTAATTGGAAATCTGCCTGTATCTGAAGCCACATTTAGAAGCTGTTCTCCAGTTTTAACCCTGTTGTGTTCTGGAGAACCAAGTCTACCCCCATGCTTGTAGTTGAAGGGCTTCCACAAGCCTTGGTAAGAAGGGGAAGTTCGACTTGCAGTTACCTCACAGAAACAAGCTGGCGGAGGTACTACATTGTCTAAATTGTATTGGACCAATGTGAGTTGGAGAGAGAGACACGTTTTCAAGCTACACAGAGCTCTTCAGGTTTGGAAACATACCCAGAGTTAGTGTCACTGTCAAACATAAGATGGAACAGATGGTTTAGCATAAATAGTTAACACATTTTTCAAAGGACCACTTAAGGTGAAGTGGCCCCTTAACAACTCCCCCATCCTGGTGTAGTTAAGGGGGTCACAGATAGGGATGTTAAATTTAGATTAATTGGCTAATCGAATAGCCAATGCAATCTGCATCGACTATCTGATTAGTCAATAAGGGCGCCTCCACCTTTGAAGTGTACTACAGCCCCAGGGCTGTTGCTACACTTCAAAGGCGAAAGCACTGTGAGGTGTACAGGGTGAGCGGGGGACTCAAGCAGCCCCCCGCTGGCTCTGTGCTCCCTGCGGCATTTCAAAGTGGCAGCGCCACATGGAGCCCAGGGTACCCCGTTGACCACGGGCTCCACATAGCACAGCTGCTTTGAAGCGGCCCCTTCTCTTCCCCCACCCTTGCTGCCTCTTTCTGTAATGAATCATAAATCCACTGTGTCTGGTCAGTTCATATTTTGCAGCATCTAGCAAAGGAACGAATTTAAGTTCCCAGGCTCATTTTTTAAGCTGGTGTGAAGGTTTCCCTCTGAGGGCGAGGCCTGAGGGATCAGATACAGAGTGGTGGCTTTGTGAAGTGTTGCAGTTTCAAAGGCATTACCAAACCTGCTCGTACCCTCTTGCCTCCTCTGAGCAAACTGCAAAACTGCAACAGAATCAGACACCATCCAAAGGGATGGTCTCCTTACTTCCTCCGGGATTAGAATGTGGGAGTGAGGTGACAGCAGTGAAGGGGGAAATCACCCCAGAGAAGTGCGGGGTAGGGGGAAAATGGGCAGAGGCTGTCAGTACCGAGCTGTGGCTCAGCAATAGCACCTGCTAGAACAGCAGTGGTCCCTCCTATATATCCAGGTGGCAAAGGGCAAGGAGTGGGGCACTCACCTCAGCTGGAGCAGAGGGGGGAGGGGCAGCAGCTACACTCTCTTGGGCCCTTCCTGCTACAGCCAGCAGCCCCCCCCAGGTCCCACCACCCGTCCTAGGGCACAGCCTGTCTGCCCTGTGGACAAGAGGCTCACACTATTGCTGCAGTTAGGAGGACACTAAGCAGAGCAGCTGCCCCCCACTCCTCTCGCTAGGAGACCTTTGAAACCCAGACTCGGAATGAAGGTCTCAGAGGCCTCCTACTATTGCTGTGCACAGAGTTTGTCCATACCAGGGGTGGGCAATAATTGTTGATGGGGGCCACTCCAAGAATTTGGAAAGTGGTCAAGGGCTGCACTCTTCTGTATCAATGGAGGAGGTGCGGGATCTGGGACGGAGGTTGGGTGCAGAAGGCAGCTTTCAGTAAGGGACTGGGGTGCAGGAGAGAGTGTGGGATCTAGGAAGGAGTTTGAATGAAGGAGGCCGTTGTGACCAGGGTTAGGGGACTAGGGTGCAGGGGTCTGGGTTATGACCGAGAGCAGGGGATTGAGGTGTAGGAGGGGGGCAGAGGGTTTGGGTTGTGACATGGGGCAGGGGATTGTAGTGCAGGCTCTGGGAGGGGATATGGGGGCAGGGAGGGGACAGAAGATTTGGGTTATGTGGGGGCAGAGGGCATGCTGAGAGTTGTGGTCCTTTTTTTGCCTCCCCTGCTTCCCTCCCCATTTCGGGTGGCATGGAGGGATGGGGTGGGACTCCTGCTCCCAGAGGGCCAGGGCCCCTCCCCTCAGTGCTGGCCAGGCATTGGTGGCAGGTCTCATTCTTTGTCAGCTCTGATTGTCCCCTGCGGCAAGCAGCTGGTAGAGGGGGCGGCTGCCGCTCGAGTCTGCCTGGAGACACTGCAGCCTTCCCAAGCCCAAATGGAATCGGCCCCATCGGGAGGTGGGGGAGGGGAGTTCTCACCCTTCCTGCATAGGGGCCTGCCATTTCCTCCAGCCAGAGGACAGGGCATCCATAGGCTACTCGGAGGCTGCTGTAGAAGTGCTATCCACCCACCATTCCAGACAGTTGTGCTTTGCCCCTCACGATGTACGCTGTCCTTTCTGGCTCAGCAAGAAGTCAAAACGCTCATACCACTAGTGTAAGCGGGCAAAATTCCACAGAGCTCTAGCTGCCCTGAATTTTTAAGCCTTGTGCTTACTGCCAACCCAGAATAGCTTAGTGACTGGTATTTTAGAAGTGGCAGCAGCAGCACACACAAAACAGCCAGAATTCAAATGAAAAAAAAAAAATCAAACAGCAACAGGATGGTGTTGCAGTTTGGCACTGTGGATCTGGTGTGTCTTCCTGGCTCAGCCACAGCTCTCTGGGTGCCCTTGGGCAAATCACTTAGCCTCTCCGCATCAGCTCTCTGTAAAACAGAGATCAAATATTGTCCTCCTTCCCTGGGCTGTTGGGAGGACGTGGTCATTAATGTGCATCGGTACTCACATACCACAGAGACACATATCATGGAAAAGCCTTATAAATATACGAGTATCAGAGGGGCAGCTGTGTTAGTCTGTATCTGCAAAAACAATGAGGAGTCCTGTGACACCTTCAAGACTAACAGATTTATTTGAGCATAAGCTTTTGAGGGGCAAAGATCCACTTAATAAGATGCATAAATATACGAGGTAGAGATTTAAGGACACATCTACACTCCAAGGGGAGAGACTCATGTCAATTGCTGTTCCTGTATTTTCACTCCTTTTCCTCAACCATGACTTCTCCATGCATGTGAGAGCTATTGTTGAACTCAGAGATGGAGTTGTGCCCAGCTCTCCTGGGGGTCAAAACAGCGTGGTAGAAAAGGGAGGGAAGAAAAAAACCAGGGCAGCCTATATCCCACACACATACACACTTCCTGGAAGGGCAGCGGTGGGGAAATCATACAACGAGAAGCCTCACAGATCAGCATTTGTGTGCACTCGAGCTCCTTACCTGATACGATCACTGTCTTTTTTCTTCAACTCCGCATCTCTCTGCAGAACCTTCATAAGCTTGTCGTATTCCTCCTCGGTCAGAAAGCTTAGGTCCAGCATCTTCTCGGTCAACGATCTCCAGCCAGCTGGAGCACTGAGAGGCCACAAACTATCTGAGAGCAGATTACTTGAGGGCCATTAGCAGCCCCCTGAGCAGAGAGCCACAGCGTGCTAAACTGTACTGGAGCTGGATAGAAATACCTCACGACATCATGGCTTGAAGGGAAGCTGCATTAAGATTTCAACTCCTACTTCAAGGCACTAAGCAGTTCTCTGGCATCGCTTTCTATGCTGAATGCCTTCTTGTGCCAAGGGGGGAGGGTGTCTCTTCACAGAGTTATGTTCCTTCCTTTGTCTCACACACAGTCACAGCATTCTTGAGCCAACATCAATCAAATATCCAAATATAGAGACGAAATCTTCCCACTAGTTTTAGCTGCCTCAGAAGGGATGAAGGACCAACTCGGACGTTACAGACAACAACCACCAGAACTTCTAGCATGAGTCTTTCTCAGGAAAGAAGTCATCTCAAGGGTAGATCAATTGTTCCTGCAAAGAAATCACACAGAGATGCCTCTTTAGATAAAGACGCCATATGGTAAGTGAATGTATACATTGGAGGTGTTTATTTGTTCTTACGCACAAGTCCCATACCAAGCTGTCCTGCCTTTCTCCCCATCTCTGCCAGCTCTTAATACAGCATAAGCCTAACCACGATACAAGCTTATTTTAGTCAGCTTCAAGGGAACTGGTAAACAGCTTCCTTAGAACACTGCTTCTAAAGCAAACAAGGTAGGAAACACAAACAAAATATTAAGTCACTTCACCTTCATTAACCCACCTGTAAGAGGAGGTGAATATCAGACACTTATCACCTTTTTAATCTCTGAAGGGTTAAGTGCTGTTACTGCTCCTTCCAGGACAAGAGCCTTCAGACTGCTCATTTAGTAATGGAGCGTGCATGTCTCCTTACACTGCACATTCAATGGAGCTGTGCCCATTTATACGCTCTGTTTTTGTCCGACAAACATTGTATTTTCTTACCTGTCCCCCCAGTACCAGCTTATAGGATTAAAGCAAAAAAAAATTGTTTTAAATTTCATTTCTGTTGTGTACCTTTCCTGCAGCTTAGTCTGAAACAGCATGGAACAATTTCACATTTCCTGTCACCTTCCCCCATGGATTCTTATGCACTATCACCCCAAACTACCTGAAGTGTTTACTGTGGGGAAGGTGGGGTTTTTTTGGTGTGGTGTGTGTGTGTGTGTTTTTTTTTTTTTTTAAATTCCCAGTTGTGAGAAATCTCCACCTGCCGTTTGGGTAGCTGACCTCAATGCTAAGCCAAGCCATTAGGACCAGCCACGCAGAAGTAAACAGAGACTATTTGCATATCTGCTGTATGCACTGGGAGCTAAGCAAACCCATCACCTTTATGATTTTAGCCAAAGCATTTCTTAATGTTTGTTCTGCACATTACCACACCTCAGTTACTGTTGACTCAGTCTTGAAACAGGAAAACCTGCAGTTATTCAGCATGGTATTTTAAGACATGGGCAATCGCATGTAATTTGTTTACTAGTACCTAGAGGCATAATACATAGGAATAAAATCACTTGACATACATGGTATGTTATCAGACAGGAACATGGCATTCTGTAATGTATACTGGCTTCCATAACATTTCTTACCATAAAAGTCATAGATCTCATTTGTTCTCTCTCTTGATAACTACAATGCTTTGCTGCATTAGAAGGCGTCCTCTCTCCTCCCAGATATGCTATGGCAGAGGGGCGACAATATGTTGTAATGTTTCCCTATTCAGTAACCACAAGACCCATCGCTGCATCGGCAAAGGCAACGTATTAGATGTCCAAAGGGCCTTTAAATCTAATTACTTTGATAGGAATCTCTCTGAAGAAGAACATCATAGGAAGATCAACAAGAGGAAGGCTTGTTGTGCTGAGAAATCCAAAACGGTCAAATTGCCAGATCCATGGAAACCTCCCAAGTTAAGTACAGCATGCCCAGTGTGGAGGTGTACTAGCTGATAGGAACATGGCAGTAGACCTACTTCAGTGCCATCTTCCCATGCTGCTGGCTATACCCTTCACTGCAATAGCTTCTGTCTCTTAGGGGATTTCTTTAACATAGACCCAAAAATAAAGTCACTCAGCACCAAAAAAATTGCATAGGGAATGTGGTGCTGGCACAGAGCTACTCAGGGCCTACCCAAAGCACTGTGTGCAAGGAAGATGTGGACTCTATTCTGAAAAGGGTCTCTAAAAAAAGTCAAGGAGTTTGTCTCTCTTGCCTCTCAATAGCTCAGTTTACAAGTGAAAATATTCCCCCCCCCCCGCATGGCAAGCACTGCAAACCAAGTCTGGGAACTCGCACTCAAGCTGGCTTCCTTCTATCTTTTGATTCATCACCAACAGTAAAGTTTCTACAAGCCACATTGTGCCCTTCCCTTAGTTATACGTGCGCGACGTACTGGAGTTGCAAACTTTGGCCCTGCCATTGGGACTTGGCCAACAGTTCTGTTGTCAGTTGGGCTAGATTAACTCCTCGTGAGGTGTGGGGTTACAAGATTTTGTGGGCTCCCCCTTAGGAACAGAGGTGGAGCCAAAATGAGGTGTTTAGTGTGTGGGAGGGAGCTGCTGGGGAGCAGGTAGGGGTGGAGGTATAGGGTCTGGGAGGCAAGAAGAGGCAGGATATTGCAAATGCTTATTGGACAGTCAACTAGTCCTTAACATCCCTAGTGCTAATACAACTTATTTTTTCAAGAAAGTCAGCAGTATGACTCGAGTGTGCTGCTGAGAAAGGACATGCCAGTTTCATATAATTATTATCCAGTGTACTGTAACAACTGGTGAAATGGAGACGTCCTAATTTCAACATCAGGGGCTAGAAGATCCCCTCACCAAGCATAAATGAACACAAATCCACTGAGTTCAAAGTTGTTGTGCCAATTTATATCAGCTAAGGATCTTGACCAAAAAATAAAATAAAATAAATCAACACTTGATTAACTTTCCTCCAACAAGCTCTGCTATTTCTCTGGAACCAGTGACACGGAGCAGACATATAATTAGTATAGCCCACACAAGGCCAAAATCCCAGAACAAAAACAACAACAACAGAGAGGCCAAACACCAAATTTTCAAGTATTGTAAAGTTTTGAGGGTTGCTAAGTCATTGTGACTTGAAGGGAAAGTATTCTGTAATCTAGAACTACAAGCTAAAGTACACTTAGGGTACGTCTAGACAGCAGCTTTATTTTGGAATAACTGATGTTATTCCAAAATAACATAGCCCATGTCTACACTACAAGCTGTTATTTTGACATAATGTCAAAACAATGTCGAGCTGGAGGACTGCTTACTCTGATTTCTATAACCCTCATTTTATGATGAGTAAGGGAAGTTGGAGGAAGAGTGTTCTTCCTTTGATTTCCTGCCGTGTAGATAGAACCAAAAGCCGAAATAAACTATTGACGTAGCTCAAGTTGCATATCTTATTTTGGCTTTAGCCCTGCTGTGTAGAAGCACCCTTAGGCTACGTCTACACTGGCACCCTTTTCCAGAAATGCTTAAAACGGAACAGTTTTCCATTATAAGTATTTCCGGAAAAAGCGCGTCTACATTGGCAGGGGGGTTTTTCCGGAAAAACTATGCTGCTCCTGTTTGGGCAAAAGTCCTGTTCCGGAAAAACTGTTCTGGAAAAGGGCCAGTGTGGACAGCACAGTAGTCTTTTCCGCAAAAAAAGCCCCGATCGTGAAAATGACAATTGGGGCTTTTTTGCAGAAAAGCACGTCTACATTGGTCACGGACGCTTTTCCGGAAAAAGTGCTTTTCCGGAAAAGAAATTGGCCAGTATAGCCACAGCCTTAGTCTTTGTCCACACTACACAGCTTTTAGCAACACAGCCATGTTGAAAAGTTGGGCAGTGTAAACGCTGTTTGTCAGCACTTTTGCAAGTAAAAACACTTCCACCCCCTGCAACAGGAGTTTGTGTTGTCCATAGTAGAGTACTCCTCCTGACAAGGAGTCTTTTACATTGCCACTTGAGGTGGCAAAACTTGTGTCTTTTGGGGCCAGAGGAGGATTAAGGAAGTGTGAATGTCAAATGTTTTGCCGCTCAATAGGCAGTGTAGACAAAGCCTAAGATCCTCCATGGTCCTGGACCATGTGAATGCACTTTTTATTTCTACGGTTGCATTTTGCAACTTGACTGTTTGGTTTGCTGGATGAACACACAGTACAAATTATAAAACAACTGAATTACCCCAACCCCGCCCTCCAGTCTAAATCTAATCAAATTACCAGGTTATTCAAGGGTTTGGACAAGGGCTGTACAAATAACCACCCCTGTAAAGAACTGTTTTAAGGGCTCAATTCCTACCAAGGGAAGTAGTCCAACAGATTACAAACAGGAGCACTTGCAGGAAGGAGTACTCACACGTGCAGTGTTATAAGGCTGCACTATACATTATTACCAGCTACTACCTTCAAGATATTTTACCTTTTCCTTACAAAGGAGCCTTCTTTTTGCTGTTTTTTCCCCTCCCAAACAGGTTTATTATTTAAAAGACAACATATGTAAAAATGAAACTCTTGTTAGTTTAGTTTTGCATGAAATCACAGCTCCTTTTGGAAAGTTGGATACTGGAGGACCTGCCTTCCTTGTGTATGCTGCATTCTTCAGCTGTGTTAAGGGGATTCTTCACTGAGCCTAATACAAGCCATTGCGATAAACGATGCCAGAAGACTGTTGCTCTTAGCGGTTTACAGACATTTGTCACCTATTGATTATCGGCAAGGCACTCCAGTCTCAGATCTCATTTCACCTTGAATACCCAGTTTCTGAGTGTCACACGTCTTCTTCCTCAATACCGGTATACTCAGAAATTAACAATACCACACACTGCAGGCTAAACGGATTCCATTTACTCTATGGCGTACTGCACACAACAGAGAAACTGAGCCAAATTAGAAACTTTAATCTGAAAATCTGGCAGACAAACAAATCCCATTTCAACAGCCCCTGCTAATGTTGGCTGAATAGTCAATATGCCAATTCCGGGGTATCACCTTGATCAAAACAGAATCATTTAGATCTGGACCACATCACCTTCCAGAACAAAATGGGACGTGGAGCATATGAAGTTCCACATACTAATCCAACAAAGATATGGGAAAATGTCATTGTCACAAAATAATCTCCAGCCTCTGCCTAAACACACAACAAAACCGACAAAAGGTAATACACATGCCACAGAGGTCATCAATTCTAGCTCCCTCCACCCACCCCAGCAAACCTCTGACAATGTAACAGAATTACACACTGTAGAGCCCAAGAAGGTAAAAGACATCACAACACCTCCATCAGCTAGAAAATACCTGGGACAAAAAGAAGGAAAGTGTACTGTGTTTGAAAGCAAATGCAATACAGGCAGTCCCCGAGTTACGCGGATCCGACTTATGTCGGATCCGCAGTTACGAACGGGGATTTTCTTGCTCCGGATGACTTAACAGAATTACACACTGTAG